GTAAAATTGAAGATTAGATTATTGGTGATATTTTATGAACCCATGTTTGAAATTTGACAATTTTTATAATATTCTATTCATCTTAATAAGATAAATTGAATGATATAAAAATTATTGTATTCTAATCACTAGATTGTAAGATATCTTCAATCTAGTAAAATAAAAATTTTAAAGATCATTATCAATTATAATAAATATGATTGGCCAACTACCACATGTTAAAAGATAACCAATCAATTAATTTTATGTGATTGACAATTCTAGATTTTTTATTGAACAACTTGGCTTTGAGTCACAATTTTCAAATCAGGAAAGTTTGTATAATGAAAATTGTTTACCATGGGACACACTTATTTGCACAAGTAATACAAACTCTAAAAAGAAAATGGCTAATCAGAGTATATAAAATTTGACTGTTTCAGATTAGCCTGATAAGAATTTTAAACATGTGCTAAAGAAGAAAAAGGCAAAAATACTCAAAAACTAGTGTTTAAATCAACCTTAGTACGCTAATTAAAAAATGTCAGGAATGATATTTTATATATAAAAAACAACAATCTATTGTTATAGCCTCTAATGTTAATGACCTAACCCTAAACTTTTATCTTTATACATTTAGTTTATTTACAAAATTTGATTGCCTTTTTTGGTTTGTGTTACAAGTAAACTCTTTCAGGAATACATATAGCACGTGATCATTACATACTAGGCCATTGGCAAAAGAAAATCCTTAAAATATACCCGGGGTAAAGGTTATTATCCTGTCTCTCAATTTTAGTTTTTTAGGGTTAGGGTTAGTTAGCACGTGATGACTATTTTAAATTTAATTTATTTATTTTTGGTCATAGGTTAAGAGCCTATACCCCGGGTACATTTTAAGGACGCCCCCGTCTAAAGCCATGTACCCACGTGACTATTTTGTGTAAATCAACCAACTGGAATTGCGAAATTTTGTTTACACGATCAGCCCGAAGAAGTCAAAAATAACAGATAAAGAAAACGCAAAAAGACAAAAAACAGCAGTCTAAACCTGTCTTGGGGCACTAATTAAAAATATCGGAAGGCAATTTTACCTATAATTCTCTTCTTATATCAACACCAACCTAACCCTAATTCTAACCTTAATTTTAATTAAACCGATTAAAACGTCAAAATTACGTGGGTACATGGCTTTAGCCATCCCCCGAAATTGACAATTTTCAAAGAAATTTTTTATTTTTTGAACGGAACAATTTTCACTTAATGAACAACTGCTATTATCTTAATAAAATTTTACAGTATAAGTTTTTATTTTCTTATTATAATTTACCGGTATTATAGAATTCAATTTTCCGCAAATTTCGTCCCATTTCTCAGCATCAAGCTTATATATATACGTATCTTGGGTTGAAGACAGAACTATGATACTTTTCAAACACTTCGCCGGAAAAAGATTTAGAAGGTTTATCAGTTTAAAAAAATTTGACAATTCGGGTTTTCAATGATATGGATATATTGAAAATTTTCCGTCGCTTTTAAGAAAACTATGTTTATTAAACACGATTGACCGCTTTTATATTTCTTGTCAAGATTTATTAGTTGACAAGAATGCACATACTAAACACATCAAATATATCAGACAAGCATTCAAGCGAAAAAATTTGATAACATTGATATTATTGTTATAACGATCTGTCAAACAATCATTAATAATACAAAAATAACTTATTATATCAGCCGAAAAATCATTCGAAAACAGCTAACTTACTTGAGCCGGCTTGGCTCAAAAAGCCAAGCCGATCCATCCCTACTACTCTGTATCCATAGGTGCTTGCCCTTGGACAGTGTCACCCATATCAACATTATCCAGCAAGCTTAAGTATTGTTTTAATTCATCGCCTTCTACAATTTTAAATTTACAATCTGCACCAACTATCCCAATAGAACAGTTGTCCATGTTAAGTTCTTTATCTTGTTGTAATGTATCACGTAGAGCATTAAGTCCATGTCGAACAAGCTCATTTAATGATGAACTTTTTGCAATACTTTCTGCACTTATTACAGCACCAAGGAACTGTATAGTACATATCTATACAGATTCACAGT